TTTTTTTTTTCAAATTAAAGTATATTACATTAGCTTTAATTTAAGGTATATATAAAAGTGTCAGTCTTTCCGGAACATTTTCAAAAGTTAAGTTGAAAAAGTTAATTTTTTGTAAAAAAGTTACCATTTTGAAACCCTTCCTGTGGGCTGTTAAAGGGTCAAATGTTCACAAAAATATATAAAATGATACGTAAATACCTAAGGTATGTATAAAAAAAATTATATTGATACGATTATTTTTAAAAAAGTTATGGCAATTTTAAGTAAAAAAAATTGAAAAATATCGAAAATTAGCGATTTTTAAATTTATAATTTTTTGGGGGATTTCCCCCGTTTACGGGGAACGAAGGAATTTTTTCAATTTTTTAGGGTAATGTTTTCGACTAGATATGATTTGTGATCATTTGACATACTGTTCATCAAAATCGGTCCAACGAGAGCTGAGTTTGAGCGTTCACAGACACAAAAAAAATACATCATAGTAAAATTAATACCTTCTCAGCTTCGCATCGAAGCTAAAAAAACATATCATAGTAATATTAATACCTTCACAGCTTCGCATCGAAGCTAAAAAAGCGTCGAGCACTCAATATACGAAATATATGGCACAAAGTCACAGCGCTTTTTTTCATAATAATACTCGTATTTATCATTCATTATTGTTTTAAGCTTATTTTAAAAATTATTTTAAACTTTTTAGTTTTTTATGATATCGCTGTCACAGTCACAGATAATTATTGTCAATTATCACANAGAGGTCAAATTTTTTTTTTTAAATTAAAGTATATTATATTAGTTTTAATTTAAGATATACATAAAAGTGTCAGTCTATCCGGAACATTTTCAAAAGTTATGTTGAAAAAGTTAATTTTTTGTAAAAAAGTTACCATTTTGAAACCCTTCCTGTGGGCTGTTAAAGGGTGAAATGTTCACAAAAATATATAAAATGATACGTAAATACCTAAGGTATGAATAAAAAAAATTATATTGATACGATTATTTTTAAAAAAGTTATGGCAATTTTAAGTAAAAAAAATTGAAAAATATCGAAAATTAGCGATTTTTAAATTTATAATTTTTTGGGGGATTTCCCCCGTTTACGGGGAACGAAGGAATTTTTTCAATTTTTTAGGGTAATGTTTTCGACTAGATATGATTTGTGATCATTTGACATACTGTTCATCAAAATCGGTCCAACGAGAGCTGAGTTTGAGCGTTCACAGACACAAAAAAAATACATCATAGTAAAATTAATACCTTCTCAGCTTCGCATCGAAGCTAAAAAAACATATCATAGTAATATTAATACCTTCACAGCTTCGCATCGAAGCTAAAAAAGCGTCGAGCACTCAATATACGAAATATATGGCACAAAGTCACAGCGCTTTTTTTCATAATAATACTCGTATTTATCATTCATTATTGTTTTAAGCTTATTTTAAAAATTATTTTAAACTTTTTAGTTTTTTATGATATCGCTGTCACAGTCACAGATAATTATTGTCAATTATCACAATCAATAGATATAATTTCTGTATAGCCAATTAGTGTGTTTGTAAACTCAAAACAGTGTGTCTTAATACCATTTCTAATAAAGGTTATATACCTGCGAATATTGCCATGAAAAAGCAATTTGATCCCTANATGTTCACAAAAATATATAAAATGATACGTAAATACCTAAGGTATGTATAAAAAAAAATTATATTGATACGATTATTTTTAAAAAAGTTATGGCAATTTTAAGTAAAAAAAATTGAAAAATATCGAAAATTAGCGATTTTTAAATTTATAATTTTTTGGGGGATTTCCCCCGTTTACGGGGAACGAAGGAATTTTTTCAATTTTTTAGGGTAATGTTTTCGACTAGATATGATTTGTGATCATTTGACATACTGTTCATCAAAATCGGTCCAGCGAGAGCTGAGTTTGAGCGTTCACAGACACAAAAAAAACACATCATAGTAAAATTAATACCTTCTCAGCTTCGCATCGAAGCTAAAAAAACACATCATAGTAATATTAATACCTTCACAGCTTCGCATCGAAGCTAAAAAAGCGTCGAGCACTCAATATACGAAATATATGGCACAAAGTCACAGCGCTTTTTTTCACAACAATACTCGTATTTATCATTCATTATTGTTTTAAGCCTATTTTAAAAATTATTTTAAACTTTTTAGTTTTTTACGACATCGCTGTCACAGTCACGGATAATTATTGTCAAATATCACTATCAATAGATATAATTTCTGTATAGCCAATTAGTGTGTTTGTAAACTCAAAACAGTGTGTCTTAATACCATTTCTAATAAAGGTAATACAGAGTGTTCAGTAAGTCAGGAAACGGGTTTCTATTGTTCTCATTGTTTGTAACACAATGTAAATACATTGTTTGTATACCTGCGAATATTGCCATGAAAAAGAAATTTGATCCCTTATGTATTATACATGTATATTGACTCAAAAAATTTTGAATCTTCAAACGTTTATATCTAATAATAAACAATAAAAATTTGTTTATATATATAATATTGATGATACGCACGTATGTACAGGTACGAAAACCAAAAATAAAATTATACAGGAATAGTGTGGTTATTGTGTGGTTAGCGGGGTGTGGTGAATGTATTACGATAGTCTAGTCTCAAGGCCATTGGCGACGGGATACGCAAGAATAATAACACGTGGCGCGTGGAGAGTTACAAACATACATACATACAGGTGAAACTAATACAGCGTGTTAATAAAATTATACAGGAATAGTTTTGCCGTCGTGTGGTGTGCGGAGTGGGGTGAATGCGTTACGACAGTCTAGTCTCAAGGCCATAGACGACGGGAGAACACGTGGCGCGTGGAGAATTACTAACATACAAATATACATACATACAGGTAAAGCTAATATAAGCGTGTTAAAAATAATCTGAAACGTCTGCTTTGTATAACCTTGAAAATAAAGATGTTAATTAAAAATACAATATTAAAAAAAGAAATTGTTCCCATGATTTTTTACTATGAAAAATTGACAATTAAAATAAAACGTAATAAATTTCCAAAAGAATTATTTTATTTTCCATTTTTAAAAATATTTCTGGACGTCTGCATTCATCACATTTATATAATTTAAGAATTCTTTATGTTTTAAAAATAAAAAAGGTTTTCAAAACATTTTTTCTATGAGCTATTTTTGACTTAAAATTCAAAATATCTCCTTCAAAAATGTACTGATCCTAAAGATTTTTAAATAGAATAAACTAGAGATAATTTTTTTTTTTGTATGCTTTTAATGAATATTCATTAGAAAAACTAGACACAGAAAAAGCTTGAAAAACACCACAAATGCACGTAAAAAAATTTTTTCAACTAAATTTTAGTTTCAGAAAATCTGACAAATTCAATTTAACAAGATAATGTTACTAATTTTCAAAGATATTCCGTCCCGAATGGGCCAAAATGTGTAGCGATGACGATGCTTTTTTATCAAGCGCATATATGCCGCCGGTCTTTAGCGATATAAGAATCAGTGATATCTACATGCGCCTTTTTATACGAACAAGGAAATATATGGGAGTCTTAAGTATTTACATTGAGTAATTCAATATAGACACTGATTGATAAAAACAATTAGTATTTGTAACAAAATAACATTCATGTTTCATAAAATTAACCTTTAAAGCATTTACAAGAAAATAAAACGACACATAATAATGAATAATATTGATATACATTTACTATAATCCGTATTGGAAAAATTTAGTTTTATATTCGAATAAAAATAGTATTATCTTCGTTAGATGATTTCATAAAAAGTTCATCTAAAGTACGTGTTTCTTACCTAGATAACAAATACTTAGGTATTTTAGTAATGAGATTTTAATTGTACTTAGAATTTGTTGATCTATTCCAAAAAGTATGTTATCATATTTTGTACACTTTTACATAACATATTATGATAAAGCCACGAACCACAAATGTTTTATGGTAATTATTCACACGTGTATAATTTTAATTAATATTCCTGTCATTTTTAGATAAATCGATAAGCAAAAATACGTCCACGCTCTTTTTTGAATAAGGCGATAATGCAAACCAAATAATAATGAAAACCACTCGGATTTCTCTTAAAATAATAATTATATAGCTTTTTATTTTATAATAAACATTAATATGTATATTATTTATTGTAAATACTTTTTATTAATTGCTTAGCTACATTGATACTATTTATTGAGATCTCTCTAAAAAAAAAAAAACAGAAAAACATGAAATTTTTAATTATTACATTTTTTTTAAATAATTAATTAAAAAACTTTTTTAATGTGAAATATCTGTTTGTAACTCTAATTGTTTGTTAAACCTAACAAAAAATTTTGACAACATTTTGCGTATCCTTTAATTTTTCAGAGAAACTTAATTTTATAAAAAACATTTATATAAATTTTTTATGTCTAAGATTGCTCTTTTACAAATTATATGCAAATAACCCAAAACTACCTTTATTATCCAATTTTCAACCCCGATCAGTCACGGGTTAAAATCGTCTGATTGTTTTGAAATTTTTTTAAAATTTATTTATATAAATACAGGGTGGCCCACCACTCACTGACAACTTAAATAACTTTTGATCCAGGTAATATTTTTAGTTGATTTTTATCAACTAAAAAAGAAAACACTATCTTTTCGTGATTACTGTGTATACATATGATGATAGTGTGTATACATTACAAACTTGGCATAAATACCATGATAAGAAATTAGATAAGGCAATTATTACTTATCACTCTCATTCAAAAGTATATTGAAAAGATAGCGTTTTCTTCTGTCCTTTTCTCAATACGTATTTCAATGTTTAATACCGTAAAATAATACATGAAAATTCAAATTTTCACAAACTTCAAAACGCTACAGAATATTTACTATTGAATATTAATAAGATATTTTTTTACTAAAATTTTTCTTAAATTCTACTCTACAAAATAGCTATCTTAGATTTTTTTTTTACATTTTATTTAAAATTTAAAAATAATTAATATTTTTAATAAAATGTAAAAAAATTAATTATTGAGATATAGCTATAGACCTAACGTATAACTATTATTTAAAAAAAAAATCAACTAAAAATATTAACTGGATCAAAAGTTATTTAAGTTGTCAGTGAGTGGTGGGCCACTCTGTATATGAACAACTTTTAGGGCTGAGACTGACTAAAATCACTGCTCTTGGAGTGATGCTCCAGTTAGCCTTTAAATGTACTGGTTCGTAAAATTATGAAAAACAGTACCAGAAGTTTTTAAAAAACATTTTTAATTCAAATTTATTATCAGGCGACAATGCGAGATGAGTAGTGCAAATGCCATTTTTAAGTCGGTCTGAAGTGGTACATAGCTGACTATCTCGCAAGCTCAAAAACAAAACAAAACACCTTATCATGACTATTACAGATAACAAACATTATAAACGCCGTCGCATACGCAATCGGCTCAACTAAAGTAAAATATTTACAAAATATAAAAAAATGAGGGNAAAGTAAAATATTTACAAAATATAAAAAAATGAGGGATATCATTTTTTCACGCTATAAATTAATTTTATACAATTAAATGGAAAATAGACTAAGTAAAATTTTAAAATATCAATAACCAGTTTTGTATTATCACTTTTTGAGATGTTAAAATTTAAGAATTAAAATATTGTTAGAAGCAATTTAGTGCTGTTCATAACACCATAATGTCTAACGTCGTAAGACAATACAATGTAAACGCATCCGGAGAAAGATATAACAAAGTACAAGGTTCAGATGAGATGCAGGACACAAGTACTTGAGTCAGACAANGGTGCAGGACACAAGTACTTGAGTCAGGCAAGGAGAGAAAACAAGGTATGTAAAGGTGTCAAGAATGAACAAACTAATTCTTGACATAAGGTTGAAAGTCAAACAGTGACAATCGAGTACTGAGACGTTTGACAATTAAATCTTGATGTGCGTACTGAAATCGACTGATCACGATGGCCACTTATAATTAGATTAAATATGCTTAAATGAATGCGTGATTGCATATTTTTATTTAATAGTTAAATTTGACAGCAACGGAAGTGTTGCCCTAATTTGTAATTATATTTTCTACAATATTTTAAAACTATTGATGACGTGAGTCATGACAATAAATAAAAATACTACTACGTAGTAAAAAACTTATACTAATACTAATAATTCAAATTTAGTTATCATTGGTAAAATTTTTATTTAGTTCATTTTCAATCTAATTATATATATATAATTATGGATTTTCATTTAAATTTTCAATGTCACCCCTAAAAACTACACTGAACAATAACTTTTTCATAATAAATTTAATTTTTCTTTTTATTATTTTGGGCTTCAAAATAATTCATTAGATCGACTGAATTTAATATTTAATTAGGACTAATATACCTAAAATACCTAAATAAACTATATTACTAAAAATTTAATCAGAATATTTTTAAAATTAATATATATAAATATGTTATTATTTAAAGAAAGAATTGGTGGTAATGTTCTTGATAAAATTACTAATCTCAGCTTATATATATAAATTCATAAATTAAAACATAATAAAATATAGATATGTTTTGTTAATTATTGTTAATAAATGTATTTTATTTATTGTTTATGTATTATGTTGTTATATCAAATGCTTATGCCATTTATAATTGTACTGTTTAGTATTTTTCTACTCCTATAAACACATGTCATAAAATTAACTTTTTTTAAAATTTAGCCACTTAGAAATACATTTTTTTTCTCAAAATTTAATATTAATCAATAAATAAGACAATATAAAAAAAATAATTTAATTATTCAAACTAAATAAAATAATGTATAAATCTTATCTTATTCGAAATAAATATAAAACGACGTTGGTCATTTCCCCCAAAATAATTTTTTATTTAATTAGATAACAAAAATTGTGGGCTAAAAAAAATTGATGACAATACTCAAAATTGATTAATAAATATACTCTATATACATTAAAAAAAAAAATCAAGATTTATAATATTATTTTACGATTTTAAAGTGTTCTTCAATATTAAATTATAACATATACTTATAAATTTTATCTATATGATTTTGTAACGACTAAAACACATGTAAATATGGTCTCAGGTATGTATATGTATATATATTACTTATATTCATCAACCATTGGTTCATCATAATAAAATAAGATTAATTATTTCAATAATGGACTATTACGCTGTATGATATACCCTAGTTAAATTACTGTAAATAAAAAAACTATTAAACTTTTTCGTTCAATGGTCTTCTTTGAGACTATTTCGAACAAGAATTATAAAATTATATAATTACATTTTAAAGTTAACTAAAAAATTTTAAAAAATTAAGAGATTTCTTATGAAGTGACAATGATTCACTTTCTTTACAAAATTTAAAATATCCCAAAAAGTTTTTGATATTAAATAAAATTTAAATTTTATAAATATTAGAGAGGTTGATTTAGGTATTGCTTTTATTTTGTAAAAGTGATGTAATTTCACTCCTTTTCCAATTTGTGGATAAAATAAATTTTTTTACAGAATTTAGAATTAAAAAAAACATTAAAAGCGTATAATTCATTTTTGGAAATTTATTATTAAAATTGCGAAAATGTACAAAATAAATATTTGAAAAATTTACAATTAATGTGCTCATTATAGCATACTTGTATTAAAACTATTTATGTTAACCAATAAATGACGCAAAACTGAATTTTATATTCTTATTTGATATAGTCCAAACAATTTAAGATAATTTGTTTTCTAATGATAAAAAAGTTTTTTATGAACAAATTCATAAATCATGAATCATAAAAATACAAAAATGAAACTAATAAATCTATATATTTTAAATTTGTTTTATTTAATTAATAACGTCATTAATAACTAAATAAACCATATTCAGAAAACAATAAGTGAGGTATATGAAAAATGAATATGTAGATGAAAAGTACGTTAAAAATAAATGTAAAAATATTTTAGTTTAATATTATTTATTGTAAATAAAATTTAACGTTACAGTAGAATTTAAAAACTCTTAGAGTATTTATAATAATTATTGTAACGACTAATTTTGGCACTAGGCGATCACATCACGTTATATCTAAAAACGTTATATATTAAATATAACAAAACGAATAGATATAATTGATCTCAAAAAATTCACGTTAATTCATAGTATGAAAATAATGTTATTTATATAAAAAATTATTATGACTAGTAAGATATCATATGATTACTATCATAATATATCAAAGGCAAAAATTATAATTTTTTTTTGCATTATAAAACTGAACATTTAATAACTTTTTATTAAATAGCCGGATTTTTATGAAATTTTAATATATGTTATATTAAATTTTCAATTTCAAACTAGGAACAATAATATATATGTTTTTATTATTTATTTAAATGAAAACCCTAAGTATAGGTTTAGAAAACAACCTTAGAGATAAATTTAATTACTTTATCGAGCAAAGAAAAAATTAAAAAAGCAGTAGCATAATGGGGTCGCGGCATATTTGGTACTAGTATATATGTTATCTGACAGTGATTATAATTACTATCATTAGAAACGCTTTGATGAAAATCTTTAGATAGTGTTTAATTTTAAGAAATTGGTGGATTATTGAAAAGCAAAATTCAAAACTCATAAAAAATTACGGAAAAATTGCAAATAAATCATTGTCACAGGCAATAATTTTTATTGAATAGGCAAACGTTCGTTCCATTCGTTTTTTGATAAAATTGACAATTTAAGCTAGTTAAAATTTTAAAATTAATTTTGTCGACTTTAAAGAAAAAAAAAATTGAAATAAGTTTAACATTATATTCTATGTCAATTAGTTATATATAATATTCATGATAATCAATATACCCCATTATAAGGTATGTTAAAATAAATTAAAATACAAAACCCAAAATTTTAACACAACCATAGCATATTTTTAAATATCATATTCTGACGTACATATAAGTATAGTTGCAGTCACCGACTAGCAACCATTACTCTGAAGATGGACCCTGCAATGAGTCCGAGACGTCAGAAACCAACTGAAAACATGGATATATCCTCAAGCACTTTAAGTAACAAGACAATCC